TTCTGAGTGTCACTGACTGCAGAGGTGCGGGGCAGGGGACACGTCTGAGAGGAGCCGTGCAGGAGGGTCTGTGCTGAAAACCCGCCCATCCGCTTTGGTTTCCAACGTTAATATAATTGAAGGCCTCTGACGGGAATGAGCACGGTGGCCCTCGGGCCCTCGGGCCCCCGCTTATGCTGCAAGAAACCCGAGTCCCCAGACGAGGAACTGCTGGGCCCGGAGCACGCGGGCTGTGGCTGCAGGGACCGGGCAGCGCATGGCGGAGACCAGACCCTGCGCTCACTGCCGCCGCGCCCCTGGGAGTGGCCACCAGCTCCTTCCAAGGCCTTTGGCGCCACTCGGAGCGTCCTAGCGGTGCCGCTGCCAGGCGAGCAGGCTAGTCCGTAGCTTCTTTGCAAGTTAACAGCTGTTCTCTGGTTCTCTGCCTGACGGGCACGCAGCCTCGCCTGCTGCCCATCAGCCCTCGGTCGTGGCAGGAAGCGAGTGTCAGGCCCTGGGGCTCTGTGGGAACCCGGTGTCTGTCCCCTGCACAGGGGTGGCTGGCCGAGGAATAGGCTGTACAGTTACCACCCCGTGGGAGGCCACAGGGAGCGGACGTGTCTGTTAGTTGAACTCACAGCCGTATGTGTGAGAGGGTGACTAGGAAAGTGCCACTGTGAGGAGCGGAGAACATGAAGGCCTGTGACCCCTGAAAGAGAACACAGCAGCCGTATGGGGGGTACAGGGGCCCTCAGTCCCCCTGTGCCTCTCCCTCCTGTCCCCCCACCAGGTCTCCTCGGGGCTCGAGAGAGGAGGCTTCACCTTCCAAGGGGACGTCCGTGGGGAAGACTTCGGGAAATTCAAGCTCGAGAGGCAAGGTGAGCTGCGGGCTGCTCTCCAAGGCCAGGTGGCCTTCACGGGGTTGTGCTGAGAAATCACGAGAAAGGCCAGGACCCCTGAAGGGAAAAACCAAAGGGAGCCACGGGCACGTGTTAGAGCCAAGTGAGCGCCAGCGAGACAGTGCCCAGCGGGGGTGCAGTGAGCACACAGGTGTGGCATTCATGTCCTTGCCGCGTGGAGAGGTTCAAAACGGGGAGAGAGGAAGGTAACACTCATTCAGACAAGCCATCGAACTCCGTCACCAAGAAAATTGTAAGTCAGAGTAACTAGAAGCCGCCAAGCAGCAACGGAAAGTATATACAGACGCAGAGGGGAGGGGAGGGCGGGTAGTGAGCAAATGGCAAAGGCTTCAGCCGTGTGCGGGGTGAGAGAGGCCCTCGGTGTTTGCTGTGGGAGCTGTGATGAGTAGATTCGGACAATTTGGCAAAACTCTTTCATCCGGCAATTCTATATTTTACTTTATTTTTTTCTGTTTAGCCATTTCGTACAGAAGGAGGACACAACTAATCCTCCCCCTTCAGATCAGGGCAGGTTCGCCTATCCCATGAGAGCAATTCTATCTTTAGAATTTTTTTAAATCCTCACCCAAGGATATGTTTTTGTTGATTTTTAGAGAGAGGGGAAGGGGGCGCGGGGAGAGAAACGTCAGTCGGCTGCCTCCCTTCCTGCCCGGACCGAGAGCAAACCCACAACCTTGGGGTGCAGGGGGCGGAACTCCAACCAGCCGAGCGCCCGGCCAGTGCGCCCTTCGCATCTGTAACAGACACGGGTCAGAGCGGTCCTCTGCCTGCTCAGCAGAGTCTGACGGAGCTCCTAGTAGTTGAGATGAGAGTAACCTCCATCAGGGCACACATCTACCATGGAGGAATCGCCTCAGCACGTGATCGTGTGGCGTGTGAGACGAAGCAGAAAGCAGTGGTTTCATTCCGGGGACCTCATTACAGCCGCGAGGGCCATACATGACGCGGAAAGACGCCCGGACATGTGTGAGGGAACGCTCACTGGAGACGGACAGACCGACGGGCCCTCGTCCGTTCTCGATCCCTTCTCTGCTGCTCGAGTTTTACCCTGGGAGTTACAGGGGAGAAAACCTGCTGTTCTTGCATCCAGGGGAGCCCCGTGCTGCTCCTCCGGCTACAGGCTCCCGGGGGAAGCGGTTCCCGGGTGGGAAGATGAGGCACGGTGCAAGCATTTGCTTGGCGCCCAAGCTCTGTCCACATGACAGCCGCCGTCACTCCCGTCGCTGCTGACACAGAAGAGGGCTCACACTTTCCTAATGAATCGGCCGCGCGTCCTCTGAGCCGCAGCAGCCACCACCATAGATGTGCCATGTGAGTGTGGTCATCGGCTAGAGAGCAGGGCCATTAGGCTTGGGAGCACAGCGCCTCCCTGAGGCACGTGGCGGTAATACCTCGTGATGCTGTCACAGGTGAATTCCTTGCCACTGGTGAGATCTTTATCAGACTGCGGGATTCCCAAGGGAAGGCACCAACCTGCATATCATCACACTTTTTAAAAAACCCCAATCAGAAAGGTTAATTAACCATAAAAGACTGCAATTCTCCCGCCACTCCAGACGCGTAGGCGATGCTGTGTAAGCTGGGCCATGTATGTTTGGTGGGGAGTAGAGCAGAAGCGTTAGCTACAGAGGCCTTAGAGCTGCGTGTGTTCGCAGTGTGGGCACATTCTCTGGCTCTAACTGGATGTGTCGTTAGCTGCCCTCCTCCCGCCCTGGGACACCTGCCCCTGACTTCCTCCCAGGCCCGCCCCACAGACTCTGTAGGTGTCGGAGCTCAGTCATCAGATGACCCGACCTGGACTCTCCCTTCGTTCCGGCCACTTCCCTCTGCGTGTCCCCAGGGCGTTCTAACCTAACAGAACACCAGCTCGACTGAATAGGTGACCTCCATTCTCGTGTGAGACGAGCTTATGGTCAGGAACAGCGATGTGCTTCACGCAATGATCTGAGCCCCAGGCGAGTCTCCCACTCACCGAACTAGGAACGTCTGTGTGTGAGGATTGACTGAAAAACGTCCGTTCAGTTCAGAGTGAGGGCCAAGCCCTGTTTTATGGGCAAAACAAACGACCTCTTAATTGTCTCCAGCCAGAAGATGGACCGGAAAGAGGGGGCCCGCTGAGGCAGAGCTGTGTTCCACTGAGAGCTCCCGAGCTCTGCCGTGGATTTTGAATCTACACACACACTCACACGCTGGGAGCGCACTGCCTTCTGCACAGAGACCGGGGCGGTCAGGCCCTTCCATGACCTGCACCTGCGGGTCTGAGCTGAGAACGGGCGAGGACAGAAAATGCGCCCGCGTCTGCAGAGGTGACGCCACAGGGTGCCCTCTGCTAAGGCAGGTGGCGGAAGCCACGGGCACAGGTCGGAGTGTGAGACCCGTTGCCTTGCTCAGCGGGAGTGGGAGGGGTCATAGGGCACCATGCTGGCCTCTGGCGGAGGGCAGGTCCTGGTCAGAAAGATGTCCATGAACTGCAGTCCTTCCAATGAGGACCAGTTGGTCCTTATGGGCTTAAACTCCAGCTTTTTGAAGAATGCGCTTCCCTTTATAAAACGTACCCCGCGCATGTGAGTGTGAGGACGAATCCCTAAAATGTATCCTGCGTGTGTGAGTGTGAGCGTGAGGACGAATCCCTAAAATGTAAACTGCACGTGTGAGTGTGAGCGTGAAGACGAATCCCTAAAATGTAAACAGCACGTGTGAGTGTGAGCGTGAAGACGAATCCCTAAAATGTAAACAGCACGTGTGAGTGTGAGCGTGAAGACGAATCCCTAAAATGTAAACAGCACGTGTGAGTGTGAGCGTGAAGACGAATCCCTAAAATGTAAACAGCACGTGTGAGTGTGAGCGTGAAGACGAATCCCTAAAATGTAAACAGCACGTGTGAGTGTGAGCGTGAAGACGAATCCCTAAAATGTAAACAGCACGTGTGAGTGTGAGCGTGAAGACGAATCCCTAAAATGTAAACAGCACGTGTGAGTGTGAGCGTGAAGACGAATCCCTAAAATGTAAACAGCACGTGTGAGTGTGAGCGTGAAGACGAATCCCTAAAATGTAAACAGCACGTGTGAGTGTGAGCGTGAAGACGAATCCCTAAAATGTAAACAGCACGTGTGAGTGTGAGCGTGAAGACGAATCCCTAAAATGTAAACAGCACGTGTGAGTGTGAGCGTGAAGACGAATCCCTAAAATGTAAACAGCACGTGTGAGTGTGAGCGTGAAGACGAATCCCTAAAATGTAAACAGCACGTGTGAGTGTGAGCGTGAAGACGAATCCCTAAAATGTAAACAGCACGTGTGAGTGTGAGCGTGAAGACGAATCCCTAAAATGTAAACAGCACGTGTGAGTGTGAGCGTGAAGACGAATCCCTAAAATGTAAACAGCACGTGTGAGTGTGAGCGTGAGGACGAATCCCTAAAATGTAAACAGCACGTGTGAGTGTGAGCGTGAAGACGAATCCCTAAAATGTAAACAGCACGTGTGAGTGTGAGCGTGAAGACGAATCCCTAAAATGTACACTGCACGTGTGCGTGTGCGCGTGAGGACGAATCCCTAAAATGTATCCTGCGTGTGTGAGTGTGAGGACGAATCCCTAAAAGGTATCCTGCGTGTGTGAGGGTGAGCGTGAGGACGAATGCCTAAAATGTAAACTGCACGTGTGAGTGTGAGCGTGAGGACGTATCCCTTTCTCTTCCAGACACCCTGAGCTCCGACCAGGACGCTGCGCACCGCCACCTGGGCACCAGCAGCGGCTCCGTCGCAGCCGCCATCCTGGTCCCGTTCTTCGCTCTCATCCTGTCAGGGTTTGCGTTTTACCTCTACAAACACAGGTACGCCTCTGTGTACGCCTCTGTGCGCCCGTGGTGGTGTGGCGCGTGCCCGTCCTCTCACTCACATGCAGAATTTGCTGTCGCTATACAGTATTCTCCCTGACATCGAGAATGCTCACTGGCAAGGATTTGGGGTTTTTTAATCCTCACCCAAGGTTATGTTTATTGACGAGAGAGAGAGAGAGAGAGAGAGAAGAGAGAGAGAGAGAAGAGAGAGAGAGACATCAGCTTGAGAGAAACATCCATCGGTGGCCGCCCACAGGCACCCGCTCAGGAATGAAACACGCACCCAGGTGTGTGCCTGTCCAGGATCCCACGCCCACCTCCTGGCGCCCAGGATGATGCTCCCGGCAGCGGAACCACCAGTCAGGCCATTGCGTGGAGGCGGCGTTGCTTTCTTTCTTTGCCACGCGTTCCCAGGGAGACGCCTCTGAGGATAAACTAGGAGAAAGATGGGATTAGGAGTAACATGCTATGTCTCATGTCCATTGAGAGGATGGTATTTCTACCTTCACGCGCCACGGCCAGGTGGCAGGACCATGGGGCGGCATCCCCCCTCCGGGGGAAGCCCGAACCGGGGTCTCCATGGCAGCTTTCAACAGTGATTTATAAATTGTTGATTTATTTCTTTCTCTAACAAATGCAAACTGAGTCATTACTCTGTACTAAGAAATATCGCACGTTCCAGATCTTGAAAAAAGTGTTCCAACTACATATTAACAGGAAAACGTCAAAACTTGGAGAAAAAAGCTTAAAATGAAATTGCTCCTTTCCTTGGGGTTGACATGGATGTCAAAAAAAAACAAAAATAAATGTTGAAGGACATATGAATCCATGTACATTTTGTCTCCAGGCAGAACGTGTTACGTGGAGGAACTTGGCGTGGCCAGCGCACTGTAAAATACGATTTGGGATAGTAGCACGCCTTACAGATAGTAACAAAAATCACGATCCCATGAAATAAGACTAAGGCATGTTAAATGTGTCTCATATTTATTTATCGACTATAGATACTTCTACCTAACTCTGGCTTTAAAGAAAAACCCACGCTGGTGTGAGCGGGTGGTTTTATTTATTTTAGTGACACAGGAAACGGCTTTTAAAATGTGTCCTTATGCTCTTTTGAAAAATAGTAAGAATGAAACTGCAGAATTAGATTGTAATGGCTGCTCGCAAGGCCGTGCCCACTCTCTCCTGGCTGGCAGTGTCCTTGCTTTAAAGCTGTGCCCCGGGGAGAGGAGTCTCAGTGGTTGTCCCAGAATTAAAGAGGGGCGCCTCTGAGCTCACTAATTATTTCCCGGAGAAGCGAGTCCCTGCACACAAGCCGGACGAGCCCGATCTCAGGTTTCTGCTGGGGACCAGCTGAGAACTTAGTGCAGGTAGAAACCTATCCCACCCCCTTCTCCAAACCTCCCCTCACCGCAGGGACGTCTCTCCTTTTCATGTGCATTTTACAAGCACCTCCCCGCCGAGATTCTCCAAGAAACCCACCCCCAACAGACAGGGTGCAGCCAGGAAGAGTCTGGCATTCCTACGCCGTCACCTGTGCCCTTCGTGGCCTCCAGGGACCCCCGGGAGCCATGCTGTTCAGGAACATTCTCTCCCCCACCTCATTCAACGGGAGTGGGAGGGTCATAGGGCGCCCTGGCTGTGGGTGGGGCCCCCCTGTCAGCGGGCCTGCCAGGCGCCCCCTCTCGCCCATGTGAGGGCGTGTCTGACCCCGGGAAGGAGGCCTCAGCACGTCTCCTCCTGTGTTCTTTCTCTCGCCCTTTAAAAGGAGAAGCTCACGGAACTACACGTACTCACACGTGAATGAAACAGCCCTTCTGGTTGTATCTTAACTTGACGGCCGGGCACTCGGTCCTTTGTTCTTGAAACCAGGGCCCTGATCACCTCTCGCCTCTTTTCCTCTTAGAACGAGACCAAAAGCGCAGTACAACGGCTACGCCGGCCACGAGAACAGCAACGGACAGGCTTCCTTCGAGAACCCCATGTACGACACAAACTTAAAGCCCACGGAGGCCAAGGCCGTGCGCTTTGACACAACCCTGAACACGGTGTGCACCGTGGTATAGCCTCCACGTGGGACTGGACCATAGCCATACCTCGGACGGGCAA